CTCGCCACTTTAATTGCTGAAAAAAATAAAACACCTGGCATGCGTTTACTCTGAGCGGGACACTTAACAGTTACACACCTTTCAGGCAAACATACTTTGTGATAGTGACACTGTTTCTAAACGGCTGGCACGTACCTGAACATGTTTCTGCTCTAACACCCGGTAGACGCTTTGATATGACATCACATAATCACAAAGGCCAGGTCATACAAAAAGACACAAGGCAGGACAAAAAATGACATGGAAGAAGGTAAAAACTTCTATGGAAAGAAAAGGTACAAGAATAAAAGTTTGACTAAATGAATAAGAGAAGACTGCAGGAGGAAAAGAAGGATAAGTGGGAGAGGATGTCAGAGAGAGGGAGGAGTGATTAAAAGAAAAGATGGATGATCAAATCAATCAATGAATGTTAATATGGAACAGTGCAACCAGGGACTGGAATGTCATTGCCAAAGGTCTTATAGGTCTCCAGTAGGGGGAGCCATGTGTCAGTGACTCCAGTCTGTGTCAAAGACCTTCATCTGTGTGTGTGTGTGTGTGTGTGTGTGTGTGTGTGTGTGTGTGTGTGTGTGTGTGTGTGTGTGTGTGTGTGTGTGTGTGTGTGTGTGTGTGTGTGTGTGTGTGTGTGTGTGTGTGTGTGTGTGTGTGTGTGTGTGTGTGTGTGTGTGTGTGTGTGTGTGTGTTCTAAAGATTGAATAGTCAGAAGGTGGTTCTTTGTTTCCTCATCTGATCTGATCTCGTTGCTATCAAACCACATTTTCCTGCGTCAGCGATGATCAAGTGTGATGAGGATGCAAAGAGAAAAGGTGTGTGTGTTTGTGTGTGTGCTTGTACTTTTGTGCATGTCAAGCCCTGAGTGTGCATGTGTGAGTTTATGTATTGGCAGCTGATAGCATTTTAGGAATTGAAGCCTTTATACAGACTGGCGACCCTCTACACTCTATCGACAGCTGCCAATTGTCACTCCAATGACTGACAGTTCAGTATTGATGGACGGGACTTGCTGACAGAGAAATAGAAGACAAAACAAAAGGAAACAACACCATCGGGGAAGAAGGGCAGACGATACAACAGACAGAAGGAGAAAAAGGCCGGAGGAGTACGCTAACTGGGACGTTAGAAAACTTTTCAAGGTCATGGGTAAGGATAAAGGGGAAGAGGCGTGGGAAGGAAATGATTCTTGTCTGGATCAGTCCCAGTCAGCTCTATTAAAAGCTTCATTATCTTAAGTTGTGACATGTTAACATTTCATGTGAAATGTCAAAGGCCTTCAAATGCATTTGACCTACAATTAATAATGACAAGCATCATTTTCAAACAACATCTGATATTGTATTCAGTGCTGCAGTCCCAGTGCTCAGGATTTTGGTTGTTCATATTTTCTGGTTTTGTTTTTTGTAAATGAGATGCTAAAAAAGGGCTAGCCTGGCATGTTTAAATGGTTGTGTTTTCAGCCTGCTGCATAACAGTGGTGTCTGAACAGAGAAGAGCCTAAACTGAGAGCGACTGCAGGACAATGATTGGGCTGCCAACTGTCCAGACACACATTCGTCTGGGGTTCAACCACATCTTTTATATATGTATTTAAACACTACAGTCTTGAATTGGATGCAAGCAACAACAGTTAGCTTATATGGTGATGAAACTAGTAATTTGTTAGATCGTACACATTGAATGTACCATTTATTTTAAAGCCAAGTGTTCATAAGATCAGGCATTTAAGAGGTACAGTAACAAATTGATCTTATCACTTAGAACTCTTTTTTATTTAATGTCTGGCTCCGTCTGTGTTTGACAAATTAGAGTTAGCTTTTTTGGCTTGGTTGTCTTTGTGTGGCTTACTCATTAAAAAAACCACCAACCTGGCTCTATTGAGGAGAAAAGCTCTGACAATCACTTTTGTGGTTTTTTGTTGTTTTGGCAAAGTCGTTTTAGACTGAGCCGTGATCTTTTTGCGTCGCCCGATTGACCTCCAAAATACACAAAATATCTTACTTTCACACAAACCATACAGTACACACACTTGTGTCTCTATGTGTGTGTGTTTGTGTGTGTGTGTGTGTGTGTGTTTGTGTGTGTGTGTGTGTTACCTCACCTCAGGAAACTTGTGGCTAATTCCATTAGTGGGAGGAGAGAGCATGTAAATGAGGGGAGACAGCTGGTGGTGAGGGGAGGTTGATGGAGTAAGCCTGGGGGGCCAAACACGCACACACACACACACACACACACACACACACACACACACACAAACACACTCATTGCTTCACACACGTGCAGGCATTGTCTTCATAACAATTTAAGGTGACTCAACCTACACTTTTTGTACGTTTCCGCATAAAAACACATCATATGCAGCAGATTTGAATTGTTGAATTTCTTTTGATATTGAAAAAGTCAAAAGTGACTCAAAGCAAGCGATCAAAGTATCTTCTTTAACAACATTTAAATGACAACAATCATTTCCTAACCTGAACTTAAGTGTTGTTTTGGCTGAACATAATCACATTTAAGACACAGGGGGGGAACTCTGATCTGCAGTGTTAAAGTCCCGCACTTGATAAGAACATTTTCCACTCATATTTCAATAAAAAATATATACATTCCTTTCAAAATGTACCATTAAACATTCAAAAAGATATATATTTTACATGCAGGGTGCACTCAAGTAATGTGTCATGTCCACATTCCCATAATTTCTGTGCATATGTTGATACTTCACACATGAACTACTCAACATGTGTATAAACATGTGTATGTGTGTGTTAGGGCTTAGGGGCTGATGAGTGTGTGTGTGTGTG